GATATAGCACGATTTTTTTTCCCTTTAGTTATCCTCTTTCATAGAAAGCTGTTTTCTTCTTGCGGTGTAAATTTGATTCAACTCTTAATATTTTTCAATCTCGTTTATTCTGCAGAAGAGAGAAGTGAATCGCAGTTTCACAGCATGTGATTGGCTGTTCGCTAGAGACATAACCCCAAACTCAGGATCAAAGCCTGGTTTGGTTTTGTCCACTCGAAACTAATCCCGTAACCCTAAGTTTGTTCAACTACCATCATGGTATAGGCCCCTGGCCTAGTAAGATCTTCATTAGCTGGTTCGGGTGTGTACTCTGCAAGACAGTGGCCCTCTAGGAGCTGGATTGGACACCCCTGGCCTACGAGCACATGACCCCCCCCCCAAAAAATAAGATTACGAAATTTCTGTTTTAATGTTTTTGCATTCTCTCACAAAACTTTTGTGTTCCCCCAAGAAACTGTTTGCATTCTGGCACAAAAATGTTGCATTCCTCTGAGAAACTTTTGCATTTGCTTGCAAAACTTTTGTAATAGAAATAATATTCGTTGGAACGGACAAACAATTATTTCAATGCTTTTGCGAGCAAATGCAAAGTTTCTCAGGGGAACACAATACTTCTGCGAGAGAATGCGAAAAGTTTTGCGAGCGAACGCAAAAACATTATAATACAATTTTCATTTGAAATACTCCATAGAAACTTACCCAACTAACAAAAACATGTTTTAAGAACGTTTTGCTAATGCTCTCATTAAGTTACGAAAACATATTTTTTCAAACATAATGGGAACGTAACTTTTGAATGTTCTCTGAACGTTTTTGAAACAAGTAGTTAGTAAAAACGTTTAAAAACAGCCGAATGTCCAACTAAAACGTTCCAGAAAAAATGTTCCATGAATGATATATGAATAACGATTTTGTGCTAATGTTTTTGTGACAACTTTGAACGAACGTTCTATTAACGTTTGTTCACAACTTTGTGAGAACCTTGCCAGAACATTACCGGTAGTCAAAGTTCTGAGAACGTTCCCTATCATCGGGTATAGCGCCAATTTCATGTTGATTTTAATATTTCCGAAGCTTGTGTAAAAAAGCCAATAAATGGACAAGCTGTTAACCTGCGTGCCAATTTTTTCAATGGTATTCATCATTGAGAGGTTGAAGTGTTATAAAAGAAAGGTCATTTTCACGAGTAACTCTTAGTTGTTGCTCGGATAGACAAGACAACTGCAGCAAGAAAGACCCGAGGGAAGGAATCAGTGTCTGCTAGTGTGTGAGAGAGCAGAGAGAAGTAGGTGAACGTGTAAAGGAGACAAGAAAAGGGACACTTATGGTCTCTCTTTCTCCCTTCATTCTCCCTGTATCAGCAGAAAAAAAGAAAAGAAAAAAAAAAGCTGGCCTCTGTTGACACAGCCCTGACCTTCCCCTCATTCTGCTCCCCCAAGTGTGAAATTGAATGCCTGCCAGAAAGAATGAGGGAAGACGGAATAGAGAGAGTGAGACAGAAAGAGAGAGGCTGAGTGGGGGAAACAGAGAAAAGGAATGGGAAAAAAGGATCTGTACAAAGCTAAGAGAGAAATCCAATATCACATGAATCAAACAGTGCAGATTGTTGCTGTGCTTTTCCATTTATGGATAGTGCTCCATATGACAAACACTCCAGGGATTTTTTCCTTCACACATGCTGCTCTGTGAACAGAATTAAAACCTAGCCTTGGGTTAGTGTCACAAAGATGTTACAGAGAAAGGCTGTGTGGAAACATGGTCAATGCGTTGTTTGTTTGACCTAGAATATTCAGCGTTATAAAGAGGAAACTGTTGGATTTATTGAGCCGTGCAATAAACCAAAACAATGTTAAACATACATAATAATGTGAACAACATTACACCCACTTCCTTCCTAAAAACAGTTTCACATGCATTTCCCCGAGAAAAATATCTATATAACAAACATTTCACACCTTTGTCTCAGTTCTTAAATGTTCCGCTTTACTTTGTAAAAACTGAGGGACGGGGGAGAGAAGTGAAGTGGAGTCAGGACTCAGGAGGTGGGCGAATGTACTGTCTGTGATGTCACGGGGGTGTGTGTGTGTTCCCCATAGCCACCAGCCTCATGCTGACTCCAGACATTTCTGTCATTCCTAGCAGACCAGCTTCCATTGTGCTGGGGGAGACCTTCCATTCATTCAGCCCAGGAAGAGGGAAGGGAAAGAACAGGGAACAGGGAGGGAGGGAAGAGCAGAAAAAGAAGAGGGTGGGGGTAAGATGGGGATGTTCTGACATTCTGTAGTTAAAAATTAAAAATTCGTAAAATTCAAGAACTGCTGATATCTACAATGGATTGCTTTTTAAAATATATACAGGTAAGCCACTCAAATAATGACTGTTAGAGACAAAAAATAATATTTTATTCCTGAACCAAAGTGGCTGTTCTGTATGCTATCTGACGTTCTCTGAATTGTGACATTTCAGTTTGTACATTGATGATTTTTCCTTTATTAAATCACACAACACAGGTTTCACAATTTAGATGAAGAGTTTATACTGTACTAGCGCACCATCTAGTGGCATGTTTGTGAAATATGATTTCAAGGAGATGAAGGTGAGTATTTTCCATAATATTGGAAAATGGAGTAATACACTTATGGATAAGAAGTGATAACGGAGGGTTTAAAAGCTGAAACGCGAAGCTAATTTTTATTAAAATATTTACGAAAATTGTTTAATAAATGTGTTTATTTTTTAAAGTTGTCTAAATTATTCTTTTTTCAGCAGGACTTCTCTTCAAGGTGGATGAAGTTGGCTTTTCTTTATTTCCACCAAATACGACATAATATTATGCTATTTCATTTTACATATGACTAAGTCACGTGACGTCCCCTTGTCATCATTTGAGTATTTTACAGATGCTTGGGAGTTTGAGTTGCTTTATGACCATGGAATGAGAGTAAAGATTTTATATCACTGTGCAAAATATATTATTGTGAATTTTACCTGCGTGTCATGCTAACTCAAAGCCTAGCAATTTAGCGCGACCACCTAAGTTAGCACTCTCAAGAGGCGTATAACCGTTAACGTTACTTCTGTTGAAGCATGGCTATGAAAATATCGGCTAAACCAGTTAGACACAACAGTGCTTTGCTGAACTCTACAATTACTAGCCAGGTAACGTATGGTATGAATTCATGTTCAGTGGTTGTTGTTGTTGTTGGTAAAAGTGTCAAAACAACAAAAACGCTTCTAAATATGTATCTATTCTGATTTACAGCAGATAACTGCGTACAAATAGAAAGACAAATGCCCTATCAACATCCCATCTTTTGCAATACAGACTTTTTTTATGAACCAGCACAAAATTATGGAATGAAGTGAACTCACCTACGTGACATAGCTAGGGTTGCCACCTGTCCCGGTTTTACCGGGATTGTCCTTCTTTTTAATAACCTGTCCCGGGAAATTTACGCACTCTCCCGGGACACTGAATGTCCCGGTTTTCGAAAGGCTACGTGAATATGTATGTTCAAACTGTGTAGCGCGCGCAACGGCAGAGAGCGAGAGACCTTGCGTGTGTGTGCTAGTGTGAGTCGAGTCTGCCTCAAGAAGCGCATAAGAAGCGCATGTAATCTGAGTGTGGAGCGCGCTTGCTGCACGAGGCGCGGGCGCGAGCACTTCCGTTTTTCTATCAACAGTGGAAACAACTTAAAATAGGCCTACTACTCTATCATTTCTGGTCATAGAAAATAAACATCATTCGCAACAATACATCATTCGCAACTACTTTTATTTGTGTAAACTCACAATAACAAGAAAACGTTGTGCTTTTGTAAAATAAAATAAAACAATCAGTCGCGCTCTTTTATGGTCTCCGTGAACTGGATCGCGTCTCAAAATAAACAAGCCCATAGGCTAAAGCTTGAAATGTCCACTTTTAAACGAACAAATTCGAATCAAAAGAAAATACAGTCTGATTATGTAATCCATATGAATTTCTTCTCTAAAGGCGCATCTGCTTTACAGCGGAGATGGAGATATGTTGCAGCCGATTTAGAAAATACTAGTTTATTAATAAACAATTAAAATGCCTCGTTACTTTTTCAGAAACATTTATAATAGCCTATAAATCATCTATAGCCTTAGAAATATAGTGTTTGGCCTTAGAAAACCATTTTATCCATATAATTTGTGAATATTTTAAATGCTTATTAAAGGGGCAAAAAAAAAATCATGAACAAAAATCTGAAAATACGCGAATATAGGATATATTTTTGCGCAGCATTTGGTGTATAGGCGGGCCTACAGTTAAAATTTAAATTTTGGTGTTCAACCGTTCATTTTTGGTCTTCAAACACCCCTCTCTCCCCCCCCCCAGTTGGGCGGGTAATATGTCCCGGTTTTTTATCAGACATAGGTGGCAACCCTAGACATAGCCTAATCCTGCAATTTGATGCTGTTCCGTGGTATTTGGATGTAAATGTGGTCGTCCTTCTGTAAATTACATTACGTTATGATCAAATTGTAGTACTCAATGGCCGGTAACTTTCGTAACCTAGAAAACTAGTTTAGACGAGACGCCTCTACGCAGCTGAAGCGCGCGTCCGCGGGAAAAAGGGATAGGCCTATGTCTCTTATTTTTCACAGTTGTAGGTGGTTTACCTAATTTAGGGTGCTGGAGGGTTCACCATTTCTAGCTATCAGGGATATCTGAAATAAACAAACCTAGCAAGCCATTTCTGTTTTGATGTGTATATTTTAAGGGATAGCCACGTTTTGTTTGAATATGTTGGACATGTGTAAAGAAGAGTAATGCTCTGTTGAGATAGTTATTTTTATTTTTTGTTTAAAGTAAAAGAAAAATTACATGAAATTACCTAATTTCATTTCATACATTTTATCAGACAACCCCCCCTGATATTAATTTATCAGACCCCCCTTTAAGCAGCCTAGTGTGTTTTTATCTAACAACATGTTCTATGGTTATTACAATTATAAAGTATAGTAAGCCTAATTCCTCAATTTTGAATTAAAAATTGTGTGTCCACTAAACAATGGCCTTTATGTTGTTGTATTATTTTCTATAGGAACATATATGCATAATTAGACTTCGGGATAATCAGAGGCTTCGAGTTCACATCACCTCTTTTGTTGCAAGGGCTTAAAAATGGATAGATTTTCTCAGTAAAAGACTGACCAGTGAAGGAGTAGATAAGAGCCTTGGTCTCCACATTGTAGAAGGAGACCAGACCCTCCTCATAATCCACAAACAGCCCCACTTTCTGGGGCTTGTCTTTCATGGATAGGGAAACAGGACAGGATTCATTAGCCATATATTCACCCCCATTCCTTAGCCATATACACCAAAGTCCATTCTCTGGGCACACTCTTATTTTCCCCTTTCTCCTAACAGACTCTCGAGCCATACCTAAATCCCATTCAGTCTTATCACTGACTTGGACCTCAAAGTAAAATCTCCCACAGGAAAACCCATCCTTTCCCAGGACACAGGCAGATGAGTCAAATCTCTCAGGGTTATTGGGAACATCTGTCCAGGATCCACCATGACTCACTTGTTTTCCGTCTTTAGACAGGATGAGTTTGGGGTGAGCTGTGTTAGGATCCAAAATCACATCCACTGCAGGAGAAAGACAGGTAAAGCTGCAAGCAGCCCTGAAGCTCATGTTTTTATTAATCATATTTACAGTATATCTTACCTGCATAAAGTTTCTGTATTGAGCTCAGATCTAGCAATGGAGAAGTACCCACACCGAAGCGTGAGACCCTCCCTTGTTTATTAATCATTTCCACTATCTTCGTTGAGGGAGTGCTGCTGTCTGTAGCTTTACCCAGAGTGAAGTAGATTTTGCCCTCTGTCTGAACTTTGCTTGTTTTCATTTTCGAAATCTCTGTCAGGGTGCCCTGCTGTGTTCTCAGAGTAACAGTTGCATTCTTTTTCTCAATCACTGAAGAACTTTTAGGTATCCATGAAGGAAGTGAGGGAACAGATTCTGTGTTAGTGCTGCCAAATACAAATATCCTATTGGCTGAAGGTTGTGATGTTGCTTGAATGAAGTTGAATCCTTGAATAACAGAAGGTTGAGCTGTGAAAGTAAATGTTAAAATTCACTAAAATGTTTTAATACTGTATTTAGTAAACAACAAGACGGAAGCCTTATTTTATCACTAGATCAAAAACTGGGCAAAACACACCATTAGACAGCTGCAACTTATACAAAATGTTGCTGGCCAATCAGAATTCTGACCAGAATAAAAAACTGAGCATATATTTAAGCTGACTTGGAGTCACATTTAAAAGCTCAGTAAGCGATTTCTGAGAAACACTGTTGATATTTGAAATCAACCCAAACAAACACACCCCTCCCTTTCATTGCTCCACCCCCAAAATGCACAAACACACAATGAGTGGATGTCTTTTATCATAGCTGAAGTGAAGCAAAAAAATGCTTCGTGAAAAATAAAGCAAAGATGAAAAATGATAAAAAAGAACATACAGTACACAAGAGTATACAAGCAAGAGTTGGTTGTTAGTCGCAGCAGCACACCAGCTCCAGACAAACAGTGGCTACGTTTACATGCACAACTTTTGTTTCAATCGGACTGAATTCACTCCGATTTATGAATCCGAACGTAGTGTTTACATGAACGCTAAACATGTGATTGGGTTGATGTGCACGTTTATATGTCACAAGCTTCAAATCGGAATAGATTTTTTGACATGCGCAAATTGCACGAATATACAGAGTTTCTGCTGTTTGCGCATAATAACCATTCTCCTACATTGGTTCTTTATTTGTTTTAAACAGCAGACTTAATGTTTATCCATTTCTGGTCATAATTTGGAGACAATGAGCATATGATCTGTTGTGCCGTGCTGCTTATATTTTTAACGCTGTAAAAATGCCCCTCCCCGCGCCCAAAACTGTGGATGAGAGACCGAAACAAGGACTGGTGGGACGTTGTCCTGCTCCATTTCACAGACGCTGAGTGAAAGGAGACTTTAAGAATGACGGGACACTCATTTATTTGACACTTTATTCAACAGGAAGAAACAGCTCGTTCCGCGCGTCATACGTCATCATGCTATTTCAACGGCATTGCACATGCGCAGTCCTTTCAGTTTCGGTTTTCAATCCGAGCAAGTGTTTACATGTTCTCTCGATCGGATTAGAAAAGGAATAAACCACCCCTTTCAATCCGATCGAAATTTCATACGGATCGAGCTCAATTGGATCGATTAAGGTGTTTACATGAAGGTTTTTCAGTCCGATTGAGCCGTCAATCCGATTACTAACGTATTATCTGGTTGCATGTAAAATTAGCCATTGACACTCAAAACTGTCCTGCCACTATATAGCTAAAATTACAACAACAGCATTTCTTGGTTCTGTGAAACATAGAAAAACCAATGTTACTCACATATTGAGAAGAAACAATGCAACCTTGGTGTCCATTCTCAGGCCTTCCTGCTTAAGTCTCTCTATTGCTGGAATGCTTTTCTAATATTAACGTGGGTCCTAAATCTCTTGCCTGATCATAACCCGTCTTTTTCCAGTGATATTCCTGTGACTTTTTCTCTTTTGTAATGTATCTCAGCTATCTCTCTTTCTACAGGCTTTCTTCAAATCTCCCTCTTGTTCACGCTCTCCTCCCCCAATATGAGTAGGCATGCCCCCTAGGCATGGACATGCCCCCTTGGCGCTCTGTCCAATCCACTTTCAACAGCAGTTCTCTGAAATTGCTCACTGCACCTTTAATAGCAATTTAAAGTAGGCCTTCTATTACTTGTTTAGAAATCTCTCAGTGGGCTAATTGTGATTACGCTTAAAGAATTTGAACATGATACGCCTCTTAGATAATTAGGATCAAGTCAGTCAATATCTAGGATCAGTATAGCCACAATACCAAGTCTTGATTTTTTCTTTATCATGCCTGATAAAACATGCCGGTTACCATTCAGAATGGATTGAGAATGCTGGTTCATATATAAATTCACCTCCTTAATGCTTACTTATCTCATGGACTTTTTCCAGTTCCTTGTTGACTTTTTCCTTGAGGCAAGTAAGAGCTTTCTCCAGATTTTCTGTGTTCAGTAGATCAGTGTTAATGTTGATGTTCGTCCAGGTCTTGACTTGTGGAGGGCTGCACATAGACGAGTAAACCTGGAGCAATGCAGGAGAGGAGAATTGCTTCAGAATGAGGAGTTTTGTCATGTGATGTGATGTGAGCAGACAGAGGGACACTGACCTGTAGGAGGTGCAGGTGATCTTCAGTGTGTGAGAGCTGCTCCAGCTCAGTGTCTCTTCTCTTCAGCTCAGTGATCTCCTGCTCCAGCTCTTTAATAAACTCTTCAGCCCGCTTCTCTTCTGCTTTCTGCTTCTGCTCCATTCCTTCCAACACCTCAGACTGACATCTCTCAATGCAGTGGATCAGAGCAGTGAACAGCTCAACTTTGTTTGCTTTATTTCTCTCTGTGGTGCTCTGGTTAAGTTGAGAAGAATATTAGACAGTCAAATCACAGTCAAATTCCAAACCATTCTTTCCACCGCCTCTATACAGTAGATAATCATACTCAAATAATATGTCCTTCAGTTTGTATTTATAGTATTGTCCTTGTCACTTCACTATAACGACACACCTTATTGGACTTTTCTACGTTTTTTATCTCCTTAATCTTCTTATGTCTGTCCTGGATCATCACCTTGATTTCTGCCTGTGTCTTTTCCAGTTGAATCTGAGGACAGAAACCGAAAGCAATATTATGTTGAAGTAAATGCAAAAAGTGTAAACATGCATTCTCTGTTCTCTAAACATGCAAATATTCTTTTCAGTGATTTTGGATTTCACCCATTTAATTTACTTTATGCTTTATTTGATTCATATTTTGGTAGTACGGTTCATTTTCAAAATTTTTAGGTGTATTTTTTTTAATAGAATAGGAATAGATCTCCTCAAACTTGAAAGATGTGTCATCATTTAAGAACAGGTAAAAATTTTGATGTCATTAACTAGTATTATTTTTTCTGTAATTTCAATGTGCGTGTTCAGAGCTTTGTGGCGGAGAAAATTATGATGTCTCACAAAGCTATTAAATGGCTTCAGACATAATTATAATATGTGAGTCTTTTATGCTGCTTTTTTTGTCTTTTTGGTGCTTTACATTATAAATCAGCATTGACTGGATTTGGAATGAAAAGAGCTGCTCTTTGTTTCATAGAAGTTGGAATGACATGAGATGAGTAAATAAACCTTTGTGTAAACAGTTCCTTTAAGTAGAATGGAATAAATATGATAAAATATCTTCTAAAGCTTCTCACCTTCCTGTATCCACTTTCTTCCTCTATAGGAACAGCGTTATGAGTCTTATGTACTGTTTCAGTGCAAAAAAGACACAGACATGTCTGATCATCTCTGCAGAACATCTCCAGTGGTTTATCATGTTTTCTGCAGATATAATCTTCCAGGTTCTCCACGGGGTTAATCAGTTTGTGCCTTGTGAGCCTTGGTGCTGTTTTGTGATGGTCAAGGTGAGTCTCGCAGAAAGATGTTACACAATGCAAACAAGACTTTACTGCCCTTTGCGTGTTTTCAGGGCAGACATCACATAAAATTTGTTGAAAATGTTTTGTTTGGTGTTGAAGTTTCTTTGGCTGTTGATGCACTTTGAAACGGTCAACAACCTTTTTAAATGCTGCATTTATCTTCAATTCTGGTTTACTTTCAAAGTCTTCCTTACAGAGAGGGCACATAAAGAGCTGCCCACTCTCCCAGCATGCCTCGATACAGATGCTACAGAAGTTGTGTCCACATGAAGTGGTGACTGGGTCGGTGAGCACCTCCAGACATATATTGCACTGGAGCAGCTCACCAGAGAGTGATGAGCTGAAGGAAGTCATGACTGTTACTGGAGAAACGGTGACAACATTAGGCTCTTTATTGGACTGATCAAGGATCATTACATTATATAACAAGTAAGAAAAGCATTAACAGATTAAACATTGCATTGTGATCTTAAACTTTTTGTTCAAGCAGTGAACACTGGCTGTTTTGCCATATAGGCAGCATACTGTAGATAACAAATAGCTTAAAACACAGTGCTAATGGTAAAATACCGTATGATTTGGCAATTCTTCACAATCTAATTTGACTTGCATGTGAAATGCCACTGAAAAACAGGTAAATCATATTTTTGAATGCCAGTACACACAAAAACTATGATCTATCCATTTACATATATGATGCATGTCAAATGTCACATGATCAGTATTATTTATTTAAGAATGGTTCTAACTATATCCTATAAACATGGCGCTCGGTCTGTTCTTCCTAAGAATTATATAGTATAATTTTATATAAGTAACATTAAGTTAATTGCTTTACAATGTATTGCTTTTAAGGTTTGGTCTACGAAATCTCACCTGTCTGTTCGTGTTTTCTCAGGACTCAGGAGAAGAATGCAGTGCACAGTCACATCAGATCTCAACTCCTCATTTATTCAAGACAAAGAACTCGGCAGGTTTTTATGGTGAGGTAAGGTAGGTTTCAGTTTCACTTCACTGTAAAGGTTGGTTTTATTCTTTCTGTAAATCTTACATAATACTGCCAACACACCTTGTCCCTTTGTCATGCTTTCTTAAAGACTACAATAAGATTGTCACTTGAGTCTAGACCAATTCAATTTGTTCTTCTTTTATTATTTATAGCTGTCCTTTTTGGAATATCATTGCAGAGTGTGACAGTATAACCTGATTGATTATTTGCAAATAGTATTTGTAATAGTCTCTCTATTTCTGCTAAATTATTATGCTTCATTTTAAGTGCAGTCAAACCAACAGACACCTTATTAAAGGTAATTAAAAAAAATGAAACTTAAATATATACATAGTTATTATAAAATGTAAAGTGTTATTATATGATGTGTTCATAATTATTATGTTATAAAGAAAATGGCATTTTAACCTTGCTGGAATTATTGATAGAAGCAATACAACTAGGAGAAGCTACAATAGTGGCTCTTGTCTTCAGACTATTCAGGCTTGCCCTACCCCAGTTAGGTACAGATACATAGTATGTTGTTAGTAGTAGTGTTGTTGTTGGTCCAGGACTTGACTTGTGGAGGGCTGTATGCAGATGTAGTAATGCAAGTGAGAGGAGATCCCTGAGCATGTGGTTTCCTCTGGTTAAAGAACATTGAATATTACTGAGTAAAGAACGCTGACCTGTAGGAGTTGCAGGTGATCTTCAGTGTGTGAGAGCTCAGTGTTTCTCCTCTTCAGCTCAGTGATCTCCTGCTCCAGCTCTTGTTAAATCATTTTGAGCAAAGAGTTTTGATTACACTTGATTAAAATACAATACGTTTTAATAATTAATAATGTATTTAAGAAAAATGTGTGTATCTACCAACAGATAACATAAGCTTTATGAACGCTGCAATGCTTGGCAGTAGTGCTCAATGTGTTTTCTCGTATGAACACTCATTCCTCTCATCTGTGTATTAGTGTTGCCTCTGACTTTCAGAAGAAAATACATAGTAGAACTGATTGTCCGTGCTATTTAAAACCAAAGATGGAATAACTTAATGTTCAGTAAAGGTAAGGTTTTTAAGGTGATACAGTTTCACTTTCACTTTATTGGAAAGGTGTGTGTGCTAAATTCTCTTTACGTCATACAATCCCAAATGTCAACAGGACTACTGTAAGGATCCACTGGAGGCAAGTTGTAGTGAGAACCCAAGTGCAGTATTTATTCAAAAACAACACATAACAAGATCAAAACATAAAACAAAAACAAAACCATGGACATAGACTTACACAACAGAGGATCACAGGAAACAATACTTGACAAAGACACATGGAAAACATGAGGGCTTAAATACACAAGACGAGGAACACCTGTGAACAATGAACAGGCGATTATCCAATGACAAGACACATGGCAGGATCACATGACAAACAGGGAATCACATGACAGACATGGAACATGACATGAACAAAACCAAAACGTGACAACTACTTATGCCTTTAACTTTTCCTTTGTTGTTTCTTTGCTGGTGCTGGTGGCATTACGAAACTTAATGTAGTTTAAATGAAATTTAATGTAGCGTATTATTTAACGGAAATCAAGATCCTGGTCATCTGTGCACGGCACGCATTTATGAGACTCTATTAGAGCTGCAGATCACGCCGACTCACCCGGAAAAAGAGTTGTGAGAAATCAACCTAATAATAATGTGACATAAAATACATTCCGTGTACTTTTTTCTCTGAGGTATTTGTTCACATATTTGTTGTGCTCGTCGCAGTTATCGTGTTCATATCTATCAACTGTCATTCTAACTGCCAGCTTACAACCAGAGTTCCTGTCTAGAGAGATTTACCTCAGTAAAGAAAGTACACAGATAATTTTTTGGGATTTCAAGGCATTGTATTTCATGTCACAATTTGTTTTTAATGGGCAAGTTGGAGTGAACTTCACAGAAGACCAGCGGCCAAAGTCAGGATTTTCATTAAATAATACATACAATTTTGGTTTGTTTTTCACAAAACCCTATTATACACCCCCAACACACTTGTAATATATATATAGCACAAGTCGCATTGGTTGCTATTCACTGCCATTATATGGACGAGCGTGAGATGGAGCAAAAAGATTTTTTTTTTTTTTTTTTGTGAAAACGGCCCCTGATGTATTTTGTAATCATCTTTAAATCAGTGCCATGTCTATAAAAAGTATAGGCCCTATCGCAGTCTAATTTCTTAGTAGGCCACACACTGTTGGTATATTCGGTTGTCAATTCACCTTTTAGTGCTTAATCCTGTACACTATTTAGTAATTTACGAGAGTGACACCAGCATTCTAAAACCAAATTAGCTCACGAAACTGATAGTTGCAACCGCATTTGAAAAATGATTACTTGTTAACCTTCAGTTCGTCCCCTTACTTTCTTAAACAGTTAACACTTTTTTTGAAACCATTACTTTTGTCCTCCTTCCCTAATCCCTCTATCAGAAGCACATCTTAATAAACTATAAAGGTAGAAAATCTGTTTTCAATACATACAATAAAAATACTGTTTTACACACGCATGTATATATGTCAAAAACACATTATATCTTTTCATGATTTAAATGTTACGTAAGGAAATCTATGTAACTCATGTAAGATTAACAAAATTGATCATGTATAAGCAGTGGAATTGATCGAATACACATAATAAATAATAATATATTTCTCTTACAGTGTACAGTACATGGCCATAAACCCAGGTTTTCTAAAGGACATTGAACAGCGCTTAATGCTTTTAAAATAATAAAAATGAATGCTAAATAACTTTAAGACTGAGTCGCTACACTAATGTAGCATTGTTTTAGAGATAATGTCTCAATGTTTCCCATGGCCCTGCAGAGGACAAGCGGTTTGGAGAATGGATGGATGTCTTCGTGTTTGTAAGAAATGTTAATATACTCAAACTCAATCATTTAAATTGGAATCACACATTCTTAATAGTGTCAGGAAAATGGCAAACTTTTGGGTGGATGTTTTTGGCCATTGGCACTGTCAAACCATTTTTGCCTGCATGGCTTAAATTTTAAGTATACAACCTTGTAAATATTTTGTATAGTGAACAATCATTTATTGGCCTAATGGCATTGTTATTGATGTTAAAATCTATTTATAATGAAATCTCCGTTGTTTTCTAAAGGAGAGGTTTACTTGAGACATAGACAGCAGGAGAAGTGAACTTCCCAAAACCTTTGAGTCACAGTTGCTTTAACAGGTGCTGACCAAAAGCATTCTGTGCCTTTAAGAGGAGCTGCAGTCTGTGATTGAAAGGACAGAGTGTGTATGAGTCAGACTCGGGGGCATTAGAGCCAGTGTGTGTGAGTGTGTGCAAGCTGCCAGGAAGAGGGGCAGCAACTACACCAGCTACAGTCCCATCAGACTGCTGTCCTATGCACAGTTTGTAGCAGAGCTTTTCTTTCTTTCTCTCTCTGTCTTCTCTTCATCTATTTTCATTTTCTAGTCTTGGAGTGAAATTGATTCTTTGGGGACTTATTTAGGATCCTGACACACCCCCAGTGGTCCATCTCTGTGCGGGACCACAGTGCGCTGTACTGTGACTCACAAGTGTTACTAGTAGCGGATCCTGCTGTAACTACTGTCCACCCATGCTGCGTGTGTTTATCCTGTGCGCAGAGAATGTGCTGACGCATGATGAGGACATTAGCGATGCCTACTGCACCGTCACTTTTGAAGGTAGGACCCAGACCAGGGGTAAATGAGGAAGGGTTTTATATCAAATATGTTGTAGAGAGTTTGCTTAGACTGGCACTTTCTTTTCTGGACAATCACAATCATTCTCTTTCACTGCCTTGTTGTCAGTCTTCCTACTTTCGACATTCCATCAAGCGGGCTATTATTGGAAAAGCAGTTGCAGTCTCTCTCTCTCTCTCTCTCTCTCTCTCATCTCTCTCTCCTCTCTCTCTCTCTCTCTCTCTCTCTCTCTCTCTCTCTCTCTTCTCTCTCTCTCTCTCTCTCTCTCTCTCTCTCTCTCTCTCTCTCTCTCTCTCTCTCTCGTGTATGTTTATGGGTGTCCTGTTGCACTTGGAATATGTGTGTCTGAATGAGTGCTGCAGTGCTGCTCTGTGTTTCTAAGAGATGCTATGTCATCACAGTTTGGTTCAATGTGGGGCTCCTGTTTGCTTTACGTTCAAAGCTTTTAGGGGCCCATAATTCATGAGACGGGCCAGAGAGGCTCCTCTTGTGTCAGCCAGGTGTTCTGTTGGTTGGTTTCTTTGATTTATTTATCTTTTTTTATAAATGTATTGAGATGATACCATTAAGACATCATATACATACATACTACCATTCAAAAGTCAGTAAGATTTTTTTTAAATAGAAATCAATACTTTTATACTGCAAGCATGCATTAAATTGATCAAAAGTGACAGTAAAGACGATTCCTCAAAAATATTTAGCAGCACAGCTGTTTTCAACATTGATAATTATAAGAATG